ACAGGTTTTTAAAAAAGGAGAAGAGAGTTTAGGCCGGGCCATAGGTCTGCCTGCAGTCCCTCTGTTCGGGCTGAAAGCCTTCCCTGGCTCACTCACACCTTCCTCGCTCTGGTTCAGCAAATGTTCAGAGCCCAGCGGGGCCCCCTGGAGGTGAGACATGGGCTGGGCTGGGGCCAGGCCTGAATGAGCCCTACACTACTCCAGCGACCACCCAGGGTTCCGGGAAGCCACCGGGAGGCTTGGCGGGCTCGGAGGAGGGACCTGTGAACGCCAATATGGGGCTGGGGGCGGAGCCAGGTTTTGCTCCACGCCCAAATCCAAGGAGACCTGAGGGAAGGGAGGGAGGGTGACTGGAGGAGAGCTGGGGATGGGTTGGGGTGCGGGTGGGGGGCTGCTCTGTGCTTCAGCTTCCCCACAGGCAAAATCCTTTCTGGCTGGGGTTGCCCACGATGACCTGCATCCAAGGAACTGGGGGCTTCTCTGGGTTCTGAGCTCTGAATGTCAACTCAGACAGGGTGTGTGTGGGGTGGCAAAGCTCCACCATCCCCTCTTCCAGACCCCTGAAGTGATGACAAACATTTCCCCTCACCCAGCTTTGGGCTTTGAGGGTCAGGTGGGAGGGTGGGCTGGGGCCCCCACCCAAATCCAGCCAGAAAATCACAGGTGCTCCTTTCCTAAGACACCCCCGCCCTCCCCTCTAGGACCAGGACTGTGTAGGCTTAGTGGTATGGTGCCCCCAAGGCATTCAGGCCCTGGTTCCCTCCTGGAGCAGCCCTTTTGAGGGTGCCAAGGTGGGCTGGCACTGCTTCAGGGGGTCTTTGCCAGGACAGGGAAATGTTTTTGCCCAGAAGTGCCCACTATGGTGGAAGCAGGATGGATTTTGTGGTACCTGATAGCCAGCGGCACCCACAGCAGCAAATCCTGCCCTGATTTGCTGTGTCCACCTGGGCAAGACGCCCGAGTTGGCCTCTCCACTCACCCCATGGTCCACCCACCCCACCATATGGCCTCCTACCTGTTGTGGGGGCTGCAGCCAGCTGGTTCCAGCCCCAAGGCCTCTGTACTCTGTTCCCTCCGCCTGCAACACCCTTCCTTCACAGTACCCTGAGGCTGGCTTCTTCTGGTCCCTCCTTGACTGCCCCCCGCTAAGGAGAACCCCACCACTTCACCCGTGTCTCTCATGTCACCTTGGTTTTCTCTCTCAAGCGCAGTTCTGTGTAAAACACTTGCCTGTTTATGTGTTTGCTTTTTTTTTTTTTTATACTGTTTTACTATTTCTCTCTCTAGACCAGACTTTGAGCTCCGGGAAGGTGGGGGTCTTGGTATCTGATGTGACCCCAGGCCCAACACTATGCCTGGTGCAGGGAGGTGCTCAGTAAACACGTGTCGGTGAGTTTCGAGTCTTCATAACTTGGGTATGGATCGTTTCTCTCCCCTGCCCCCCTTCCTGTAGCCATCATCTGATGGGATGGAGTGAGAGGGACCCTGCCCAGAGCTGGCATCCAGGAAGCAGGGCTGGGCCACATATTGACGGAGCCCTGCTGTGTTCCTAGGCTGGGTGCTGACCTGAGGATGTAACAGCCAGGATATGTCCCAGCCTTCAAGGAGACACACATCCCACTAAACAAACGTGATGGTGACATGGGGTTTAGAAGCTGGTAAGTGCTATGGACAAGTGGAAAAGGGTAAAGTGGGTGTGGGGTGCTGCTGGCCAGGTGGGATGACATATCAATGGGGTGTCAGGGAGGCCTCAATGAGGAGATGGCATTTGAGCTGAGAACTGAAGGAGGTGAGGGGGGGGCAGCTGTGCAGACATTTGGGGGAAGAGCAGTCCAGGCAGAGGGTACAGCCTGTGCAAAGATCCTGGGGTATGACAGTGCCTGGTGTGTTGGAGGAACAGTAGAGACCCGTGTGGCTGGAGCAGAATGAGTGAGGGGGAGAGAGGGAGGAGGTGAGGGCAGGGAGGAGATGGGGGGCAGGTTGTACAGGGCCTTGTGGGCATCAGGAAGAACTCGGGGGTTTTATTCCAAGGGAGGTGGGAACCCTGGAAGGCTGTGGGCAGAGGAGGAACCGAAATGACTCATGCTCACAGGTGCCCCCTGGCCACTGAGAGAACAGATTGTGGGGGGCAAGGATGGCAGCCGAGGACCAGGGTGGTGAGTGTGCTGGTCCAGGTGGGTGACAACAGGGGCTGGACTCGTGTGCAGCCATGGAGGGGGTGAGAAGTGGGCAGATCTGGTCCTAAGGGCTCACCAGGATGTGAGAGGGTAAGGTACCAGTCCCTTGGACCTGGTGGCAGGGGCAAGCCCCAGCCCCAAGGGGCCTTCTTGGCAGCTTCTTGTGTCCCCACTGGATCAACAGGCACTGCAGTCTACCTCCAACATAACTTTGTAAAGGAATCTGTTAGGGGTATAATTTTGCTTTTGAGATTTTGTCCCATTGGGTTGCTTTTGTTCCACTCACCGGACCACTTGGAAGGTCTTTCTGAGACAATTTACATGTGGTGTCCCAACAATAGCTAATAACAAAAGAACAACACCGAGTGCCCCCTGTGAGCCCGGCTCTCTCAAGTCACCTCTCAGGGCCTCAGTTTCCTCATCTGTGAAATAGGACTAGTATGAATAGCTGGCAGGTGGGAAAGGCTCCAGGTTTTTTCTCCTTTTGTTTTACTTGAATTGCTCACATTTTCTCGGCTCACAAAGAGCTCAGAGACACCCTGGCAGAACAGCCCTTGTAGCCTTGTCCCCACTGGGAAGTGTGTTTCCAGGGCTGGGGTCCTCGGTTAGTGCCTGCTGGGGCGGAAAGGGGAGGCCCTCTCCCCCACACCAGGCCTGTGATCTTGCCTTGTCCTCTGCCCCGTGTCCTCCCCCTCATACACATCTGGGAAGACCTCTTCATCCTCATCTGGAGGTTGGGGAGCTCTGAAAAGGTCCACTGCCCCACGCGGGGGCTGCTGGCGCAGGAGGCGGGGTTCCAGGCAACTGGGTGGGGGGACACGATACTCTGGACAGGGGCCTGCATGTGGGGCAGGGATGATGTCAGCCCCTCACAGCCTAGTAAATGTTTATGGGCAAGGGGGCCTGGGTTTGGGGGCTCCCTGGAGCCCGGCAGGCAGCTGCTCCCTCCTGCCCCATTCTGGGGGGGCCTGGCAGGTCTGCTGCAACACTGGCAGCCGGCCCGGAGAGGGCTGGGTGGGCAGTGAGTGCAGACCCTGGTCTGAGCCAGCAAGAGGGGAAACCAAGGCTGGGAGGTAGGAAGGGGCTGTGAACCTTCCCTCCCAGCTTCATGGAGGGTAGTGGGAGGCTGAGGGAGGGTGTGCAGGAGGGGGAGGTGCGGGCGGGTCTGGCTCTGGGAGCAGCTGAACTGTGGGGTCTGAGAAGCGACAAGGTGCGGGTCCTTAAATAGGTCCCTCCATGCCCCAGCCCTCGGAGTGCTTACGATCACAGGCCCTACTTCAAGGTCTGTGTTACCTACTCTTAGAATTTGTTGCCCGTGCTGCCGCAGGCAAGGTGGACGGGAAAGGAGGAAGCACAGTGGCCTGGACAGGGAGGCAGGGATGAAATGTGGTTCCTCGGCGGACGCCACAGGGCCAGGGACGCGGGGGCGGCCGGCCTTCCTGCTGAGCGTGGTGGACTCTGCCCTCTGCCGGCGGCTGCAGGGCAGGCCAGGCTGGTGCGGGAGCAGAGGGACCTGGTTCTTCTAAGGTGGGGGAAGGGTGCTACCCCTCGGGGCATACTTGTTTGCCCTCCTCACTGAACATCTGAGGGACCCTGTTACCCTCACTTGCTAGGTGAGGAAACAGGACGGAGTCCGGAAAGAACCAAGTGCTGGGACTGAAACGCAGGCCTGGGAGCCCAATACCCTCAGGGCCCCTCCTAGCCCACAGGTGCATGGGCACGGGGCTCTCCATCCTTTCTGAGGGAACCCCAAGTCCAGGATCAGGGGCCCTGACCCCATGCAACGCCAGGGAGGGTGTTCTCAGCAGGGGTCCCGTGTTGGCATGGTGGATGGGGTGGGTACGGGGGCAGGTGGACTAGACCTGGCCTGGCCTACGGGAGTATAAAACACCCAGCAGTGGCAGGCCAGCCAGGTGACAGCAGCAAGGGCTGGGCTGTGTTCTGCACAGGTTTAATTTTAGCTGTTCAACACCCGGCTGAATTATTACCTGGAGTGGACAGAAGAGGAAAGAAAGCAAAGCTCCAAGTTTGGCTTTCAACCATGTCTAGGCCGAGGCGGGCGCTAGAGGAAAAAAGGGAGGGGGCTGGCTGAACACAGGTGAGGAGGGGGCGTGAGGGCTGCGACCAGCCTGGCCTGCTCTGGCAGCCCCAGGGCCACCTGCAGAGCCCAGACCCCGCCAGGGCACAGCCCTGCTCCCCAGGGTGGGGCGCGTAGAGCCCTAATTTATGGCCCATCACAGCATGTTGGAGCAAGCTGGCCTTCCTCTCCCGCTGCCAGGAAGCACGGAGCCAGTTCTGCAGAAAGCTTGGGGGCCGGGCGGCCAGCATTCCGGAGCTGCCTAAATCACTGGGCCTGACAGGCGGCGGCGGGTGAGGACTGCGAGTCTCCCCTCTTGTTGCTGCCATGGCCATGCCCTGCAGGCTCCTGGTGGCCTGTCACCTACCTGTTGGATGGGGACAAGGCTCTGGGGTCAGGCCATTTCAGGCTGTCCGCTCCAACGCCCAGGAATTTGGAGTCAGGCTGTGTGTGGGCCCTGGGCGTGTTTTCCACAAGCTGTTGGCTTTGAGGGGAGGCCCAGACAGGGGATGGCCTGTGACCTGCAGGGGGTGGCAGGAAGGGCTGTGGGCTCCCGCTTGCTGGCCAGCCACTGGCAAGCTCTGTGCCCAACACCCTCTCCCTGCCTCTGGCTCAGCAGGGGAACAAACCCAGGAGCCTTATCTCTTGCTCCCTCCCCAAACCACCAAGCCTCCTTCACTGGCACTGGCCTGTCACCATGTCACTGTCACCCCGAAGAGCAGGGGAGGAGGAAAGGAAGACATGCACAAAAATATACACAGAATTTATTTTTAGGCGCATTTCCACCTGCCCAAGGCTACGGGAGGCAGTGGGGCTCACACCTTGGGTTCTGCGAACACCTTCCAGCCCTCCAGCTGGCCCATCTTGACCAGGGCGGCCATCGTGCCCATGTACGCGCAGGCGGCAGCTCCGATCCTGTAGCTGTGAGCTGCGGGGGTGGGGAGGGCGGCATGAGGCACCGTGAGGCTTGCCCATGCCCACTGCGGGCACTGGGCTGTGACGCCAAAGATGCCCCTCCCTCAATGGATTAAGTCACTTGACCCTCTGACTTTGAAGATGTGTGAAAACGGAGGCACAGAGGGAGGCAGGAATCTAGGCTGTCAGGTCCAGGGGTGGGGGGACACTCAGGTCACTGAGGGGAGGACGCACTAGTGTCTCAGCCGGTGCCCAGGTCATAGGAACCAGGCCCCATATCTGCCTCATGGTCCGTTAACCAAGGGGCACAGACTGTCCCTGATCACCCGAGATCTGCCACTGGGGGTGGGGGTCTGTGTGCGAGGCTCACACCTGCCAGAGGCTTGGGGGCGGGTGTCAAACCCAGGCCTCACCCACTCACCCAAGGTCTCACAGCGAAGGCCAGGATGGCACAGGCTTCCCTCCATGGAGCCTGCCCTCTCTGTCTGGCTGGCACCTTCCAGACACTCCCAGCCTGCTGGGCCAGGGAGGTTTATTTGTGTGTGGCCGCCCTCGCTCCTCCCACTGGCCCCGAGGCACCTGCGCCCTGTGCCAGGCTGGCATGGACGCAGCCCCTCCCACCAGGGAGTATGCTCTGCTGGGTCCCAGGTGACCTCAGGCCACCTCAGCCCCATCTCTGAGCCTTAGTCCCTGCATCTGTAAAGTGAGAATGGTGAGAGTAGCACCCCTGCAGGGCCGTGTAGTCAGTCAACCAGGGCTCTGGGTACTGTGAGAGAGACAGCAGTGAAAGAACCAGCACTTCCTTTTCCGTGCTCACGGGCTGGTGGCAGAAACTGGCAGTGACCTCAAATTCTCTGACAAAGCACGCGGACACAAGGGGATATGGAATGAGGGCGGCAGGGGTCCTAGATGGTACACAGGGGGGTCGGCGAGAGAAGCTGTGTTGACATCTGGGGGAAGAACATTCGTGCAAAAAGAAGAGTATGTACAAAGGCCCTGAGGCAAGACGGTGCTGGAATGTTAGAGGAGGAGCAAGTGAGCGTGGGGGACAGGGAGGGGAGGGCTTGGCGAGGTAGGTGCGCAGTAGGTGCTTTAGCAGCAGCACCTGTTACTATTATTGAACTGGCTGGTGGTTGAGGTTCAGAAGCCCTGGGAGCTTTCATGGCGACCACCCGTCCTCTGCTGGAGCGAGCGTCCTGCACACCAGGCCCCGGGATGGAACAGAGAGGAAGGTCAGCGAAGGTTAGGGGTAGGGGGCTCACTCACTTCGTGCTCCCAGGGTCAGGCCTCCAGCGCACCCTCCGATGAAGTAGTTCAGGGGGTCATCAGGCTTCTCTCGGACCTGGGCACTGACGCAGGAGGTGATGCCAAATATGGCACCGACAGCAGCTGTGGGGGCAGACAGGGAGGGGTGGGCTCTGAGTCAGGGGCCCAGAGGGGCATAACAGCCAGGCCAGTGCCAGGAGGGACCCCGAGGACAAGCAAGACACCCCCAGGCTTGCTCACCTGCAGTAAATGTGTACCGTCCCGTCCTGGCCACTCCTTCCAAGAAGGAGCCGGGGGGGTTGAGTGCAATGCTGTAGGCAGAGGTGATCAGGCCTGCGGGAGGAGAGGGGTACAAGGTGGCTCAGACTTATGCCTCAGCACTGAGCAGAGGTCCTGGCGGGGGGCAGGCCCCTCGGCCGCCTGATAAACCTCTTCGCTCTTTGTCCCCACAGCACTCCCCAAGGCAGCTCAGCTGGGATGTGAACCTGGGTCTGCTGCTCAGAAGCCTGGGCTCTTACCCTGCCTCCAGCCCCCATGCCTGCCTCCTAAGGCCCGACCACGCTAGCTCCTGCAATAGGCCTGCCTGGCCTCTGTCAGCCTCGAGGGCCCTGGCCCAGTATGCAGCAGACACGAAGATGGGCCTGGGGCCTCGGTGGTCAGGCTGCTCCCCAGCCTGAGCGCTGGCCACCACGGCTGTGTCCCAGAGGCCCTGGCACCCAGGTGTCCCGCTCCCATCAAGGGCTCTGTTCTCTCTTGGGGCCCAGGGCTCCCTGCCCTAATCCTCCTTGGTAGAGGCTTGGCTCCCAGGGCTGCCAACACCTCCTCACTGCCACCCAGGTTCTCTCCCCGATGGCAGCTCTGGCCTGGGCCCACCCCTCACACCTGGTTGGCTGGGCGACCGTCCACGCCTGCTCGGCCCACTACAGCAGTCAGCTTTTCCATCTCTGCCACAGGCCTGACCACCCTGCCCCACCACCGGCTTTTATACATGGGGGCCAGGGTGGGGCTGGGCCTGGAGCTAAGTGCCAGGTGGGTGGCGAGGACCAAGGTTTTATACTGGAGCTGAGCGAACCCTGATCTGGGCCGGCGTGTGGGTTTGACCCTCAGGCAGCCTCCCCCACCAAACCCTCCTCAGTAGATGGGCAGACCAGGGCGCACCAAAACAGCCCAACATGGGACTCCCCATCCTCCAGCTGACCCTGCTCAGGGTGACCACACACTCCTCGTCTCCCCACAGAAACCCAGCATGGCCTAGTTGTCGGCAGGGACCTCCCGGGGCCAGACCATTCCATCTCATACAAAACGGAATTGCCGTCTACCAGGTAGCAAGTGCAGCCATTGCCCCATTCACACTCCTGAGGGCCCAAGGAGCTCCGTCAGGCAGAGTGACTTGCCTGAGGTCACCTAGCAGAGCAGTCTGAAAGCCAGGTAGGTCTGACCCAAAGGCCATGCTCCACCCCTCACTGTGGCCCCAGGGAGTGGACTTCCCCCCAGCCCCCAAGCCTATAGCTTCTCAGGACCCACCCATGGGACCTTCCAGGCTGAGCAGTGCCTCCAACCCTGGCCTGGGATTGGATTCAGCTCACTGGAGCTGCCGTGGGGGACTTTTCACACAGGACAGTGGGGTTAATCCTCATAGCAACCATGAGGAGTGCCAAGGCTGCCACCTCTTTTCCCAGATGGGTAAACTGAGGCCCAGGGAAGAGGGAAAAAGAGCCACATATAAAAAGGGCTCTAGGGCCAGCCGAGTGGCTCAGTTGGTTAACAGTGCAAGCTCTGAGCAACAGAGTTGCCGGTTCAACTCCCACATGGGCCAGTGAGCTGCGCCCAAGCTGAGCTCCCGCTGAGCTGCCAATAGGTGGCAGGATGGCTCAGCTGGTGAGAGCATGTGCTCCTAACAACAAGGTTGCCAGTTCAACTGCCGCATGGGATGGTGGGCTATGCACCCCCACAACTAAGACTGAACACGGCACCCTGAGCTGAGCTGCTGCAAGCTTCCAACAGGCGGCCGGATGGCTAAGTGGTTAGACCTTGTGCTCTTTAGAGACAAGGTTGCTGGTTCGACTCCCGCAAGGGATGGTGGGCTGTGCCCCCTGCAACTAAGATTGAACATGGCATCTTGAGCTGAGCAGCCGCGGGGCGGCCAGATGGCGACTGGACTTGGAGCTGAGCTAGCTGCACCCTCCACAACTAAGATTTAAGGACAACAACTTGGCTGTTCCCCTTCTCCAATTCCCCAATAATATCTTAAAAAAAAAAAAAGGGCTCTAGTACACCTTGAATTCATACAATGTTACATGTCAAATTTACCCCAAAACAAAAGAAGACTCCCATGTACAAGGCACCAGTCTGAGGACTCTCTAGATCTTAGTTCTCCCAATCCCATGATAGACGAACTCGAGTATCTCCACTTGACCTTGGAGAGGCTGGAGGATGGAAAGGGGGAAGTGGGGCCAGACTCTGTTCCAGCCCAGCAAGCACCCTCCCATCCTCCAGCACTCTCTTACACACATACTCCCCTCACCTTTATAAAGAATTAATCAGAGAGGGTTTTCAGCCCTGCCTGGGATCTGGTGAGTCTTGATCTGTGGAGCTGGGCCAGTAACGAGGGTCTTAGGATCCCCCTGAAGGGGAATAAGATAAGATTCTTATGATAAAACTCAGTGATGGCCCCCCGACCCAGTCATGCAGTGAGACCTGGCAGGACCTTATCAATCCAACCCCTGTATACTTGTGGTCCCGGTCACGCTGACACGGAGTGCCCCCACCATCTTACATTTCCTCAGAAGTCCTTGAACTGGGAGAGGATGATCTGGGAGCCCCCTGATTATCCCAGGGTCAAGACTGTCCCATCCTAACTCTCCTCCAGCAATCATCCAGTATGGTGACCTGCCACAGCCGACCCCTCCAGGAGCCCTCCTGACTCCTCACATGCTGTGACCCCCAGCACACGAGGATCTCTACTAACTTGGATCTCTCTAGCGCCTCCCATCACCCCCTCAAAAGGCCCCCTCCCCAACCCCCCAGCCTGTTTCTGGCTCCCTCTCAGCCTCCCATAGTGACCTCCAGACACAGAGCACATTCATTCATTCACTCACAAAGTCACTGTGTGCCCTGATTCTTCCCTCCTTCCCTCCATTCCCAATGGTTATGGTGTGCCTACAAGGTGCTCGGCTCTACTGGCAGTAGGGCTCCCAGCCCTCCAGGGCCTCACCAGCTCAGGGAAGTCAAACATTAAATTAATTCTCTTGGGTGAGGGCTAAGGGGAGGCAGGGAAATAAAGGAGCAGGGAGGTGAGGGAGGATCCAGGAACACGTTTAAGCCAAGTCCTGTATGTTGAACGGCACTGGCCAGTGAGAAAATGCAGGCGGGCAAAGTGAGCCGCACATACACACACACTCAAGACCCCTGGGCACCCTGGAGGGCTTACAGAATCCAGTGACCACCCCCAAATCTGAGTCTTTCAGTGACTGCCTGACATGGCACCTCTGTCAAAGTGTCCCACCCATATCCCCTCAATACCCTCGGGCAAGCTACTCCCCACCCCAGCTCCTCACTCACTCGGCAGCACCCTGCTCCTGAGACATACTTGGTCTCTCCCAACAGCATCCTGAGACTTCAGTCCACCCCGATGGTGCATGCATTTGTGAGCACACATGCACACTCCCACTCAGCAACACCAACGTTGATGTCTTTCTCAGCTCCCTGAAGGTCCCACACACCCCTCAGGTGACCCCTCCTGCTTTAATTCTCCCTGAGACACAACCATCACCCTCCAGTCATTCGCCAATGTTAGCATCTCCCTGTAAGAATCCACCAGAATAACCACAGTGACCCGGCCTCACACCGTGCAGTTCTCCCGGGCTCTCACAGACGCCACCCCACACCCTGAATTGTCCCAACAGCTTGCCCCTCAAGCAGACTCTGTATAACCTGTCCCCTAGGACTCCTCCTTCAGCCCTTTCTCCTGAAGACCCTCCTTAAGGACCCTGAGTGCACATTCCTTGCCCCAGGCACCCCCAAAAGTAGATCAGCAGACTTGGATTTGCAGCCTCCCTTCAAAAGACCCTGGAGTAGTTAATACATTTCTGTGACCTTCAGTTTCCACCTCTGAGAAATAGAGATGACAATGGTGATCTTACTAAATATGTAGATAATGGTAGTGATTATTAGGTCTACTCTAATGCACATGCCTCCCAGTGCAGATTCAACTTCTGCCAGGCTGTTTCAGGAGCTGGATATGGAGGTGGCCAAAAACACCATATTTACTTCTCAAAGAGACTGGAAGGGGGCAAGACTCAGGGGAACACCAGGGCTATGGGTCCCCTTATGCCCCCAAGGTTATCCTTATAGTAGCCTGACTTACTTCACCTACAATCTCCTCAGCACCCCAAGGATTCCTCTGGTGGCCCGAATACAAACTACAGATGTTCCTGACCAACGAACTCTTCTGGACCCTAAAAAGACCTCATCCTACTCCAGAACTTTATCAAACATCTGTACCCCCCTCAAAAACCCCAATAATAACCCATGGTCTTCAAGTAATCTCAAGTTACCGGCTGGAAAGCCTCATAACCCCCATCTCTTTTGACCCGGATAATGGCCCTGTCCCACTCCACGTCTTCCCCAGAGCCTAGCGATCGTTTCAACAATAACCCCCAAACCCTAGCACCCAGGGACCGCTTCTGACAACCTCAATGATCAGCTTGTCACATGTGCCACGACCTCCCGGTGCCCTCCAACCCTGACAGCCCCCGACCTCCCGACGTCTATCTAACACAAGAGTTCCCCATGACCGCCCCAGACACCCCGTGGACGACCACGTACCACCCCGCGAGATTCCCAGCCCCCATGTGACCCTTTCAGATAGCTCCCACTGACCCTATGACCACCCTGCACCCTCTAAATTAATCCGACACCCTACAAAGTTTATCTCGTACAAGAGCTCTCCAGCGTTCCAGGGCCGCCTACAGACACCCTGGAGACAACCATATACCACCCCGCGATATTCCCAATCCCTCAGGACACCCTCCAATGACCCTATGACCTCCCTGCACCCTCTGCTTTCCGGGTCCAGTCGGTCGGTGCTCACCAACGGCCCCACTGATACTGGTGCTGGCGTACGCCTTGCGGTGACACTCAGTGCCCTCGGGGATGTCCCAGTACCGGTGAAGAAGCGTCCGCGCCATGGCTGCTCACCCCGAGCCCCACACAACACACCCCGCCAGCTCTCTGCGCGCAAGGGCAGAAGCTTGTAGATCTCGCGAGATTTCTTGGTCGTGCGCGCAGCGTCCCTTGCGGACTGGCCGGCAACAAGCGTGCAACTTTATTGAGCGCCACAGGACAGACATGAACACGGGCTGCGCGCACGCGCCGAGGTCTAAGGACTGGCGTAAAGGAAGAGTGCGTGCAACCCCCCGCCGATTTCTGGAAGGGGAAACAGGCCAACCTAGATCAGAGAGGACAGAGCTCACTAGTTCCAGCTCAGAAGGTCCTAGGTTAGGAATGGTTTGACTCTCGGAGGTGGGGCCTAATCTAGGGGCGGGAGAATAATACGTAGTAGTCCTATCCCTATGCACAGATTAGGGCGCGGGCGGGACGGCACTTGACAGGAGCAAGACTTAACTATGGAGCGGAGCATAGTGAGGTGTGTGGCCACTTCCACGCTAGAATCTGTGGGGGCGTGGTCATGCACTGTGGCCAGTCCCAAAACTGGAGTTTAAACCGCGTGCGACTGCTTTGGGGGCGTGGCCAGGATCCGGGGCGGGGCTTAACAGCAAAGTGACCAATCCTAGTGCTAGAATCTTAGAGGGACTGGCCTGTGCTCAATTTGCGGCTTGTCCAAGCCCTGGGTAGGATGAAGTACACCCTACGCTTGGGGGCGTGGCCAGAAACGGGTCTTGACCAATCCAGAGCTGTACGATTGCCTCAGGGCGTGGGCGCAGCAAATTCCGGGGGCGTGGTCAGTATTGATCGGTCGCGGGATCCGGACCAATCCTGGTGTTAGCTTCTGAGCAAGGGCAGGGCCTGTCTCGAAAGAGTGACCAATCCTGTTGCTACAGCCTGAACGGGGCGTGCCATCGGAGGACAAGGCCCGGCTTAGGGGCGGAGTATCAAGGTGCCGGAACCAGTCAGGTTGTTTGGGTTTGTGGAGGGCCGCGCCGAGGTCCTGAGAGGGCCTTTGGGGGCGTGATCCGTTCGGGGGCGGGGCCGGGGCCGGGGCCGGGGCCCCCAGGGGCGTGGCTAGGCCTGGACCGCCGCAGGGGCCATGTCCGCGCCGCCGCCCCTGCAGATCCGCGAAGCGAACGCACACCTGGCGGCAGTGCACCGACGCGCCGTGGAGCTGGAGGCGCGGCTGGACGCGGCGGAGCGTACGGTGCGCGCCCAGGCTGAGCGCCTGGCCCGTCACGATCAACAGCTGCGAGCCGCCCTGGATGAGCTGGGCCGCACCAAGGACCGGTGAGGCCCGGGGCCAACAAGGTGGACTTCTCGGAGGAGGTGGGCGAAGGCGGAGCGGAGATTGGAAAGGGCGCATCAGCAGGGGGAACGGAGAACATTCACGTGGGGGCTGGATTACTGGAGATTGAAAAAACAAACACCAAAAAACTTGAATTAGTCATCAGCATGTAAAATTAAGAGATGCCACACAAGTGTGGATTTTTAACTTAAAAGTTCCCCACAAGGCAAAATCAGCCTGTACTGAATGGTGCAGGGACCACCGACCTCCTGGTGTAGGTATTGGGAGCCATGGCAGGTTCTTGAGCAGAGGAGGATGGGCTCTATCAGCAATTTTGAAGAGTCCCTTTAGCAGCTTTGAGTTGAAAGGGATGAGACAAGCGCCCAGGGAGGTGCTAGGGCCCAGGTGGGAAACAATTCCGAGCTGGTTGGAGTCATTCATTTATCTTTACTGAGCACCTACTACTATATGTGCCAGGCACTGTATTGGGTACTAGGGCACATCCGTAAGACCTACGCAACCCTGCCCTTAGGCAGACACATCACTAGGCAGTTACAACATGGGATGATCAGGGTTGTAATGGAGGTATACACAGGGTCCTGAGGGGACCCAGAGGGAAGGCTTCCTGGAGGAGGAGCCATTTAAGCTGAACAACAAATAGGAAAAGAAGGGGAAGAGGGAACTGCAGGAAGAGCTTGGGGGAGCGATGAGTCTGCGCAGGCTGCTATAACAAAAGATCACAGGCGGTGGCTTAAAGACATTCATGTCTCATTGTTCTGGAGGCAGGGAAGTCCATGATCAAGGTGCTGGCAGGTTCAGTTCCTGGTGAGGACTCTCTTCCTGACTTGCAGATGGTCACCTCATCAGTGTCCTCACAGGGCAGAGAGCTACTTATAAGGGCACTAATCTTATCATGAGGACCCAACCTTCATGACCTCATCTAACCTTACCTCCCAAAGGCCCCACTTTCAAATACCACTCACTGACGTAGAGATGCAACGTATAAATTTGGGGAGAACACAAATGTTCAGTCCATACAGGGAGGCCTTGAGGCAGTGGTGAGGAGCATGGCCTTTATCCTGACAGTGATGGGGAGCCTCAGAGTTGGGAGTAGGGAGAGAACCTCTGGTCCCCTAGTACCATAACTGCCATGTCTTGCCTCCCTGCCAGTGAGATTGCCACACTCCAGGAGCAGCTGCTGACCTCTGAGGCCACTGTCCACAGCCTGCAGGCTGCTGTGCAACAGAGGGACAAGCTCATCGGGCAGCTGCAGCCCCGGGCCGAGTTGCTGCAGGACATCTGCCGCCGCCGGTCACCTCTGGCTGGACTGCTGGCAGCCCTGGCTGAGGCCGAACGCCTGGGGCCCCTGCCAGCCAGTAATCCTGGCCACCCACTGTCTGGTGGGCCCAGTTCACCCCTTGCCAACAGCACTGGGGAGAAGGGGGACAGGGACCACCTACAGCCAGCAGTGTTTGGGACCACTGTGTGAGACCCGGAGCACAGAGTCCAGAATGGAGACAGAGGGTCCCTGTGGGGACTTTTCCCACTGCTATGGGTGTCCTCAGGGCCCCCTGATGGGACCCCATGGCAGAGCCATAATTCTTTTCAAGCTTCAGAGCCTGCTAAAAAAGTCATAGGTCTCAAATGGAAAGCAAGCAGGCCAAATGTTTAGCCCAGTCAGAATTTTTTTAAAACAAAACTTTGTACCAGTCACCTTTGTTGAAAAATTGCCAACGTTTACACACAAAAATTTCTGGCTTCAGACTTGGCCATGCCTACCCGGATCTGAGCCCAGAACACCCTCTTTAGCCAGAGTGTGAGCTTTAATTAACTCCCTCCCCCCCTTATCTGTCTTACTGCCAGATGTCTGGCCCCCGAAGCATCTGAGTTTGAGAGCTCTCTTTCTCTTGAGGCAGATGGTATCAAGTTCCACGTTATTTGACTTTTTCTCCCCTGGCTCTGATTTTCACTCCTCCTGAAGTATCCCCCATCCCAGACTAAAGCTTTTTCTTACTCTTCATCCCAGACCAGAATTAAGAGCTTCAAGCTTCATGCCATTTTGCATTGGTTATTTGAAGACCAATTTTTAATCCTAGGTACTTTTTTCCTAACTCCATCCTTCCTTCATCCTTTAACCCAGAAGGAAGAGCATGCATGTGGGACATGCTAAGATACTGGGTGCAGCCTGAGCTGCCCAGGAAAACTCAGGCCTCCCTTAACTTCTTCTTAATAACGTCCTGCCTTGGGGCCTTCACATTGGCTATTCCCTCTGCCTAGAATGTGCTTCCCTCAGATGTCACATGATTGGTTCCTTGTCACTCAGGTCTTTGCTTAAATATCACCTCCTCAGAGAGAGGTCTTCCCTGACCACCTTTTCTAAAGTTATTCCTCCCCACCCCCTGCCATTACCCTGTTTATTATTATTTTTCTTTATGGAACTACCTACCATCAGAATGTAAGCTCTATTCTATAAGCAGGGTTTTTGTTCTGTCACCAGCACCTGGCACACCCTGAGACCCCAGTAGGAACAGGATGGGTCTGTGGGCCCTGCAGGGAGCCAGAGATTCCCAGCACTTCTGACAACCCCCATCCCACCAGCCAGTCCAGCTTTTGTAGTAAGCCACTGACTCCTTTTTTATATTACCTAGATAATCTATTTTTTAACTCATTTCTATGCTGCCCTTCTTGCCCGAGACATTCAGGGTACTTTGCTTTTTAATCAAACCAGGGAAACCCCGTGCCCTTCTCTGCCCAGTTGAAGTGCCCAGTCTGGTACCATGGCAGCCTTGTTACTCAGGGAATTGTCACACCAGGAACTGCAGAGGGCAGGACCCATTTCAGCCTGGAAAGGTTGGTGCCCAGCCCCAGCTCTCAGGATGGTGCCACCAGCCTGCCTGTCTGCCGTCCAACAGTGGCCCCCCAGTATAGTAACAATAGCTCGTTTTTTTCTCTGGATGAGTAAGGAGGGGCTGTTTGTATGAGGGAAGGCAGGCTGGGGCCTGTCTGAGTTCAACAATAAACTGGATGATTTCTCAGCCTTGGTCCTTCCTTTCTTCCTGGTGTGGGTGCTGGAGAGGTGGCCCCTGTGCTGTTCCTGGTCCACGGTGGGGCTCTGCTGGGCAGGTTACAGCCACGGGAGCTTGTGCCAGGCACTCTACACTCACAACTGTGTCTAATTTCCCCAGCCACCTATAGACACAGGCTGGGAAAGTGAGGCCAAGAGGGTTGTGAGGGCCTGGGCCACTACCAATTTTTGGAGAAGAGCTTGTTGAAATTCTGATTAATCTAAAGATGAGGAGATGCCAAACAGCTACAATAATTGTGGTTAGATTTTACATTTTCTATAGAAAAATTCATTGTATTGCTCATGAAAAAACACAATGGAGTATTTCTCTTCCTACCCGAAGAATTTTGGACTACAGCAAGCCAGCAGAATTTGTGCAGCAGAATGTCACTGCAGCTTCTCAAAGCTAACAGTGTGACAGCGGCTTCGGCTCGACATGCAGCACTGGGTCGCTGGTGTTCCACCAGCTTGTTTCTGGCAGCAGCAGTCTCCCGACCACACCATGGTGCTGTGTGCAAGCCCAAGCTTTAGAAAGCCTCTGCCGATCTCTGGGTCTGTGCAGGCGGGGGGGTCCCCAAATGAGGCCCAAGTTTTAAGTCCTAGGAAATCCAGTGTCCTTTTCTACCCTGCTGGTTGGCGTAGCACTCTGTTGGCAAAGATGTCTGAAGTCTCGATCAAAGGCCTGTGACGGCAGCCTTGTTTCCTCTTAGATTATGTCAGAGGTCAGGGCCACTTCTCTGTTCAGTACCGCGGCCCCTGGCTCACCAGCTTGTCACCAGCAAGCCCACCGAATGATGTTTGAGAACTGAGAACCAGCCATCAAAAGACCCACATGACAAAAACACCATGACTGGCCCCTAAGTAACTACCAGGAATTGCTTTGTCCGACTTAACGCTGAAATGCGTGTAGTACTCTGCTGTGTCCTGGCCCAGCTAGCACTGGTCCCAGGGCCTCCCAGTGGACATGGGCTGGGCTACCTCCAGCCCTTTTGAACTTAAGTCCTTCAGCAGCTGTGGCTGCTGCCCTGTGAGAAAGGGCAGGGGGCCAGTGAAACTTGGAGAGGGGAGTGGACCTACCCCAGGTCACACAGGAATTGGGCCTTAAGCCTCCTCAGCCACAGCCTTGCCTCCTTTCAAATCTAGGATACAGTGGTCTCTGCAGGGCTGTGGCCCATCCTCCTCCTTGTGGCCTGGAAGGGACCCCCACCCCCTAACCCCGGTCTGGGCCTGGCTCTATCCCAGGCCTGGGTATTGCAGGGCTGGGAGTGAGCGAGCAGGGCAGTGGGCGATGGTGCCAGTGACAGACTGCCCTGTTCCTCTTGGCCTGGCCCTACGACCCGGCACAGTCAGGGTTACAGCTGGGGCCCCTCCCAGTCCCAGAGCCAGTGTCCCTTAGCAACAGTCCTGCCAGGCAAGACACACTGCCAACACTGGACAAAGCAGGCAGGAGCCAGTAGAGTGGCCGTCTGGAGAACTCCAGGACAGACGAAGACCAGGTGATTAGGGGGTGCCTGGCCTGTAGTCTGGCTGGCCGAGCAGACCTCTGTTCCATCCAGCTGCCCAGAGAGCACTGACCCAGCAAGGACGCCGTGGACGCCACTAAGGAGAAGCTCCGGGCGCAGTGCCTGTCCTGAGGGATCTCAGGAATCCAGGGCCTGGCCAGATGAGCTGTACCCTCACACCGTTCTGACTACTCAGCCCCAGGGACCACTCCAACTGCGCCCTTTGCCTCCCAGGTTTTTCTGCCGCCTGGACCGGGACAGGAGCTGGTCCTTAGATGCAAGAGAGCTCCAGCGGGGCCTGGCTGAGCTGGGGCTGGCGCTGGACATGGCCGAGGCGGAGGGCGTGTGCAAGTGCTGGGACAGTGATGGCAGTGGGACACTGGACCTGGAAGAGTTCCTGAGGGCGTTGTGGGTGAGGCCTGGCTGCGACTGTGGGCGAGTCCCTTCACTTCGCTCTCTCGGGGGTGTCGAGCTCAGTGGGCTTGTGTGTGAGCATGGAGACACGGGACACCCAAGAACTCATTACTAAGAGGCGCCTGCTCAGGGATCCGATCCCCTGTGCTCTACCTGGAGGGGTTAGGTTCCCCCAGTTACCACACCCCCCTCTCCAGCCCCCCATGTCCCAGGCCCAGGAGGCAGTCATTTCAGCTGCGTTCGCCAAGCTGGACTGAAATGGGGATGGTGTGGTGACCGTGGATGACCTCCAGGGGGTGTACGATGGCCGCGCCCACCCCAAGGTGCAGAGCGTGGAGTGGACTGAGGAGGAGGTGCTCCGCTGCTTCCTGGACAACTTCGGCTCATCCAACTCATCCAAGGATGGGCAGGTGGGTGCCCATGGGGTGCCCCAACCTCCTCCCACCCCAGCCTCTGGGCCCCACTGAAAGCCTGCTTGCCCCCAGGTCACGCTGGCTGAATTCCATGACTACTACAGTGGTGTGAGTGCCTCCGTGGACACGGACGAGGGGTTTGTGGCCATGATGACCAGCGCCTGGCGGCTGTGAGCAGGCACTCAGCTCGCACCATGGGAGCGTAGGACCCCGACTATGGCACCCCTGAGCCAGGGCAGCCCCAGGGGTGGGGACTGGAGGGGAGTGTGGGAGGCTTTAGGCCACAGAACCAGTTGGACCAGGTCTCTGAGGACCTTGCTTGTCCACCAGGCCCAAGGGGGACAAAGGACCCCAGGGAGAAAGGTTCTACTGCTCGGTGAATCCTTGGCCTGCCAGCACTCCCCACCCCTCCCCTCCTGGTCCCAGGGATGCCAAGAGGCCCCTGGGGGACAGGGAGCAAATGGCTCTTCCTGGAAGCCAGGCTCTGCATGGAGGTAGCTGGTCTTAGAAGGCCCGAGTTTGGTGGGGTGTGGGGCCAGGGCCCAGGGCAGCAGGTAGGCCAGGCTGCTGAGGAGCTTTCTCCTGGGAGGCAGAGGCCATTCCCGGCCAGGCCCTTGGGCTTCCTGAGGCCCCTGGGGCACACAGGAGGCCAGGGGTTTAGTTAAAAGTTTTAATGTAGTTCCCAAATACATTTCATATGATAACCTTACATAAATGTTCCAAAAACACATGGGCGTTATCTGGTTTTACTTGTCACTAGTTGGCTAAGGCGTAAAAGCAGAGAAGTGTGACTGGATCTGCCGGGGCCTTTGGGTCTTCCCATGGCTTGGGCTCAGGTGGCACACAACCCACCCAAGGTGTGGGCGGCACAGCTGCAGACCAGGCCTTCTCCTGCTGCTGTGGAGTGGGGCTGGGCAGCTTCCTCTGAAACCCCAGAGCCCTGTGCTCAGGGACCTTTGTAGGTGGGTAGTGCCTGGCTAGCTCTTGGCCCTGCTCTGGGGTGGGGTGGGCACAGGGCCCGCTCCTGTGCGTGCTGCCAGTGTTGGGATTGCCTGTTGTCTGAAACTAGTCCCCTGCCCCATCTTCGAAGGCCTTGCTGGGCTCCCCCTGTGCCTCTCATGGAGGCCCTTAACCCTGGATGGTCTTGGGGGCGGTAACGTCCAGGGCTGGGCAAGGAACAGCCAACAGCAGGAAGCGGGTTTGCGCTCGGGTGCCTGATGATGGGTGACCCACGTGATGGGGACAAGCAAGAGGAAGATGGGGACTCTCCCAGGTCCAGTGACCCTTTTCAGATAAGCTCTCTACAGGCATGGGGCCCACCCTTCAACAACCCATGACTTGGCCTGGAGGAACCCTAGGGGGGAATAAGTGGGGGCTGTCTCCCAGTGGCCCTCAGAACACCCCCGGCCCCCAAGTAAGGCCCCATCCTAGAGGCTGGGACCACAGGGAGAATGAGGACACTGGACCTGCGCCCGCTCAACACACAGGAGCGTCTTAACCTAAAACAAAAACAGTCTTGAGGGGAAAATCTAAAAATACACACTCCAAGTCAGAATGTGGGAAATGGGAGATAAAGACAGAAGTTAGCAGAACATCCAGCAGGCCCAGTGTTTATACTCATAGGGACAGACCTGGTGGCCTGGGCAGGCGGCGGGAACCCATGGGGGTGGTGGCGGCAGTGGGGGAGGCCGGCGACACGAGAAGGGAGGGGTGAAGAAACCAGGCGTCCCAGTCCCAGTGAGAAGCCGTGACAAGTCTTAATGTGCCATTTCAATTCAAAGGGGAGAGGAAAGAAATGTTCTTTTTGTTTTGCTCATCAATATGATGAGGTCTCGTGTCCCAAACCACATTCAGGCAGTTCCCAAGTCTGCTTCTGAACGGGCCGTGCAGATCCGGACTGTGGCCAACCCAGCAGGGAGTGTGGTTCCCGAGCCCCTCGACGCTGCTGGGGAGGGGCGGGTGGGCGGGTGGACAGACGGACAAAGCAGCAGGCTCGAGGGCAGCCGGCTCCCGGCGCTATGTGCTCCCGGCCGTCTGCCCGTCCCCTTCTTCGCCAGCGCCTGTGGGAAGTAGCAGCCTCGCTGTCAGGTCTCCAACCTGGATGGCACCCCATCCCCCAAGGTCAGTCCCCAACACCCAGAGGTCAGCCTTGGGCTGAAGGCAGGCGGTGAGAGGGGAATCTAGGAAACCAGCCCCCGCGCGCCCTCCAGGGCAGGGACTGCTGGCTCACCGCCTCCAGTGGTCCCCGATGGAGCCAGGACATCGTCGTCGTCGTCACTGTAGTCCTCATTGGATGGGGCCACCCCAGGCTCGGGGGCGGGCATCTTGGCCTCTTGCTCCTGCTCCACGCGGCTGCGCAGCGCCAGAATGCGGTGGTGCAGGGCCGCATACAGCTGGCCTGTGTCCTTGGAGCTGGCCTGGGGGATGCAGAGGAAGTGCTGGTTACAGGCCTCGTGGGGAGACGACCCCCTGGGTGGTGTGGCTGCTGCCCTTGCCTCGATGGAATGCCACGGACCCCGGCTGGGACTGGGGAGGAGCCCGACCCTTTCTCCTCACCAACCTGGGGACCACAGACCAAAGCTCCCATGACCCAGGGACTGCCCCGCAAAGGACTCCTAGAGCCTGCAGCTGGGCTGGCCTTCGGTGACGCGGTGGCACTTCTGCCTCTCTCGTTTTGGGGATGGGCCCGCCTAGCGGTCTCCCTGCTCTCCCCAGCCTACACCGTCAGTGCGGAGTGCCCAGTGCCCGACTGGGTATGCTGAGGAACCTCCCTCCTGTGGTGACTCAGGGGCGCTGAACGGGCAGCCCAGCCTGTCCCCGGGGCTGCTCACCGATATCAGGAAGACCTTCACGCCCTGGTCCTCGGTGTCCATGGCCGTGATGCGGATGCTCTTCTCACTGGCCTTGTCGATCTGCATTTGGGCCCACAGCTTGGTGTTGAGGATCAGTCTCAGGCTGCCTTGGGTCCGCATCACTGCAACCAACAAGGTCACTCAGCCCTAATGCCCGACCCCTGCCCAACAACCAGCTGGGAGAACAGATATAACTTGGCAGGAAAGCAAAATCCCACCATATGCCAAGGTCTGAGAAAGCCGCTCACGTGCTGGGGCCAGCCTGACACCACCCGTTCCCTGGCCCAAAATCACCAAGGCCACTGCCCGGGCCAGTGGGATTTGCTGGTCCACGCAGCGCATGCCAGGATGGAGGTTCCCTTGGGGAAGGAGGTGATTAGGCAGGAGGCGGGGTCAGATGGGGACATTTGTGGGTGCATACTAGGGACATGCGCACTTTCTTTAGGCAACACATCACATGGAAGTCGACATCCCCTGACTGTCCTCCACTCACAGGCCAAGCCCCAGCCCCTGCCCTGTGGTTTTTTTTTTAGAAAATAGGTCAAGGCCAACCCATGCTCAGAGCTTCCATCAGGAGGGAGACTAAGACAGGCTGAGGGAGGGGTATGGTAGAGAACAACTGGCATAGACCTTCCTTCTCTGGATGCGCATGTGACACCCCAAGTTCTACCCGCAGTGGGCCCAGGGTCACAGTCAGCCTGCCTAGTTTGTCAGAGCCCGCGCAGGGCACCTGTGCCCTGATTCTATGGACACGGTCACCCCTCGCCTGCCTGCCAGCCCAGCTCTCCCCACTGGAGTGGGCCTGGAGAGGGTTAGGTGTCACTCCAATCTGGGGCCCCAGATGGCCACACAGGACGGGAAACAGCTGGGCCAGCTTGGGGAGGCCTTTAGGGTCCCGGTCCCCAACCAACCGGATCTCCCCAAGTCCTCTGAGTCCCATGTGCCCACCTCTGAGGCGGTGAAGCAGCTTGGACGGGCTTGGAGAGGTCTGTGACAAGGATCAAAAGCTGTGTAGCGTGAAAGGAAAGGGTTCCTTGGACAGATAGCAACAGGGAAGGGAGGGCGTAATGCAACCAGGTGGCCCAGGCTGCTGCCAGCGGAAAGACGCAATGAGCTGGCGGGCTGGAAACACGTGCTCTGTTTGCATTTGCTCGAACATTTCCCCAGAAAAACTGGAAGGAATTGAGCGGACGTCCATGGAAGAAAGAATGGTGTCTGAACAGAAGGGCCCTTTCCACCTCTGTTCCAACTCAGGGACAATTCTGAAGGATGCAACGTGAGCTGCTACTACTGGGCCAGGGACTGCTGTTTTTGTAAAGGCTGGAGGACAATTTTAGTTTGGGAAGATTAAAAATAAAGGTGAACATACATGTTTCACAATACAGACACATGCACACGCTGGTTTTCTTCAAACACATATATAATGTGTATACATACACACAGCATACACCCAGTTTTGTAACCAGCATACTTTTTGGAATAAGATTCACGTACAGGCGGCCCAGGGGCATCACTTACGATAGCGAAAAAAATGAGAACAACCTACATGTCCATCGATAGGAAAATGGTGACATACATTCATTGTCAGCAGGCTATTAATATAAAAGTTTTCCCAAAAAGTTGTGTTTTTAAGGAAAATTTAACGACATAGGAACACATTCACAAAATAGCTAATGAAAAGAGCACGATACAAAATCACCCCATTTGCTTAAAAAAGAGCTACAGAACAGGAATGGATTGCCAAAATGTTATTAGCAGAGATTTCTCTCTTTATAAAGAAGTTGTAGTTGATGTTTGATTTCTTCTTTTTCCTTTCTACCATAAAACAATTGGCACTTTCATTATCAGAAAATAAGTTTAAAAACTGCTAAGTGCTTTTATCCACTTTCACATTTACAACGGGGGGAGTCATGGAAGGGCTGGCAGCTGGAGCCTCTGGGGCAGACCACAAGGTGTGGGTGCTGGGAGCTCTTCTGTGGGGACTCACTTCCCTGCTCCCTGCCCTTCACTGCCTTGGGAATCTGCACCATCCTAGGCACTCTCCACGGGGGCCCCACCGCATCTCACCTAGTCGGGACTGTAATGTCCCGTCGTCAGTTGATGCCATGTCGTTGAGTCTGAGCAGCCCCCGGCCTCTCTCCACCCACGACTGCGAGGTCTTGTCAAAGACAAACAGCTTACACTGGATCTGGAACACAGGCAGCCCTCTTGGTGAGCAGGGACCCTGGCTGGGTGGACGCCGCTGCATAGAGGGACCCCTGGGCGGCTCCATCTAACTCCCATGAATTACCTGGGTCAGCAAACTATGGCCTGGGGTCCACATCTGGCCCTTGGCTAAGTTTTCTGTCCTGACCTCAAACCAGAATGGGTTTTACATTTTAAAAAGAGGGACATTTTAAAATTAAGGAAATGCAAATCAAAACAGATACCACTTCACACCCACTAGGATGGCTATGACCTAAAAGACTGATAACGCACTGGAGAGGATATGGAGAAATTAGAAGCATCACACATTGCTGGTCGATGCTGTGGAAAACAGTTCCTCAAAATGCGAAACATGGAGCGACCCAGCAACGCCACACCGCCCAGCAATGCCGCTCCTAGGTGTGCACCCAAGATAATCAAAACAGGTGTTCACACAGAAATCTGTCCATGAATGTCACAGCAACATGATTCACAACAGCTAAAAAGTGGAAACAACCCAAATGTCCATCCACAGACTGGAGTATTGCTCAGCCATGAAAAGGAGGGAACTGCTGACAGTTACTACAACGTGGATGGACCTTGAACACACGGTACTCATGAGAGAGGCCAGACACACAAGGCCACACAGTGTGTATGTAATTCCATTTATGTGAAATGTCCAGAACAGGCACATCCACAGAGACCGGAAGTCGGTTAGTGGTTGTCAAGAGCTGGGGAGCGACTGCTAATGGGCAGTGTTTTGGGGGAAAAATGTTGTAAATTAGATAGTAGTGACAGTTGCACATCTCTGTGAATATACTAAAAACCACTGAATTGTACACTTTAAAAGGGTGAATTTTATAGTGTGTGCGCGTTATAGCTCAAAGCTGTTATGTATGTTAAAAAAATAACCCACGGAGACTGTATGCGGTCCTTTACAGAAAAAGTTTGCAGATCTTTATAAGTCAATATCTCTTAAAATGGACAGATTAAAAAAAGTGTTGAGTGGGGAAAAGGAGAAGTACCACTAAAACCCCACACAACAAACTCCCCTACAGTATGTGTACGTGGTTTACCGACATGTGCGTGTGAGAATGAAAGCAGATGAACAGCACACGGAACTGGATGTGCTGCACCAGGATGGGGAGGAAGGTGGGGACAGGAAAGAATAGGGTGAAGTCTGGGGTGCATCTGTGATTTTTTACACCTAATATAACACCACGAGGTGCCAGAGTGACAAAGTAACCACAGCTGTTAACTCTGGGGGGTAAGAGAAGGTGTTTGTTACAAGTCCTTGTAATTCCCTAACTACGAGACATCTCAAAACAGATCCTTTTGTCAGAAAACAAAGCAATATAAGAAGTCCCTCAGCACTGGCTAAGTTCTCAACAAAAGCCCCACCAACAAGGCTGCAAAGGGTGGGGACATAGGCCCCTCTGTCACTCCCAAGGGAGGGCTGAGTGCCTGGGGAATGTGGGTCCAGCCTTTGGCAAAGATTCAGAGACGCTTCGGGATACTGACGGCCCTCACACCTCCACCTCAGGGCCAAGAGGCCCACCTGTGGGCCACCTCACCTGTAACACGTTGCTCTCCGCCTCCTCCCCGGTGATGACTTCCACTTTTTCCAACAAACACTTCCGTGCTGTTGCCTTGGTGTAGGCAGCTGCCGATTCGGCCAGGGACTCTGCAATGTTATTAGCTAAACAACATCGACTATTTACTTGGTGGGGGGAGAGTGTGAGCCTCACAGGAGACAAAAGGGTTGGCTTGGCCTTGAGGGTACCAGCTACCCCACGCCTGGGACTTGGCGTGGACCCTGAAACACACCAAGTATTTGGCCTCGGAATCTGCAGGGAGACCAGCTGGGAGCTGTCAGCGTGGCTCTGGCCCTCCCACTTCCCACCCAGGGAAGGACAGAGCTCTGAGGACACAGAGGAAAAACTCCCTCTGTTGCCTCCGGGTGTGGAGGAAGAGGTGACAACCACCTCGACCACCCTATCCCGAATCACCACACAGTCACAGTCACCACACAGCACCACGTGCTGGCTGGTTTTAGATGAACACGTCCCCTTTCTGCTCACTGAAAACCAGCGCCTATGGCTTTCTGGCTCTGTCCCAGGGGGTGGTTCATGAGGTTATTACTGCTGTGTTGAGTTGGTCCCCACATCCCTCCCAGGCAGGGGCGTGAACGGACAGTGTCACTCGGTCCCCCCTTCCATGCGGCAGCAGGACTGCGACGTACCTTTCTCGGGGGTGGCCTCCTGGGATGAGGACTCGGACCCAGACTCAGCCGCAGAGTTTTCCCTGTTGGCATCTGAAGTGACCTCATTTAATTTGGGGGGGCTCTGCAGGGAAACGAAGGCACACAGGGAGGGGGGTGTTTGGGAGTCCTGGTGGGCCAACTGCTGTGCAATGGAAACCCATTCGGCCGGGGCGGCTTAGCCAGGAAGAAGCATGGCCTGTGACTGAATGGAAACCTGTCTCAGGATGAGAAGAGACAAGGAGTGGAACACTGACTTTAAGGAACCCTGGCGTTAAGCTGAGTCCATGCTGGCTCTTACTTGCAAGTGAAAGCGTCCTAACTTTACAGACGACAACATGGCAGCCACACCATGCCCCTCTGACCGGGGGAGGGGGCTCTAACTAAAAGCCTTTTGGGCCCCAGGAAGAAGTCCCCACAGGAGCCACTCACCAACACGCGCTCACTCATGTTCTGGCCAAATACGAATTTGTTGCTGGTGGCGTCGGCATTGTTGGTCGAGTTCTCTAAGCTGAAGAGAAGATGGGCTGTGAGTTCGGGGATGGAACCTGGTGGGTAATAGGTGGTCGAGCTGCCACCGGCCCGTTGGATTCTGCTCTGGGCATGAGCTCTGGGCGACAGAGGTCACTCTGAGGGCTGGGCTGGACAAGCTCACAGAACTCAGGTCCTGTCTTGGGCATCCACCTAAGTCCCCTGTCCTGACCCCTCCAAAGCTGTGTCCAGAGTGGGAAAGAAGGGAGGGGCTGGAGGGCGACCAGGGTTCTGGAGGCCTCTGCCCCCTCCCCTCCATCCTGCCCCCGAGGAAGGACAGGGCTGGCTCCTGGTCCGGGTGCTGCCTCCTCTCTGGGCCCGAGTCAGGGCGGACGGATGACCAGGCCCTCTGGGGCGGAGGCTCTCCCCACATAAGGCTGGGTACTGGGCCCGAGACACACACCTGGAGCTGATATACTGAAGGAAATAGTTGGTTGCGGTTGGCGTTTCTGAACTGGGGTGTCCGGCATTCTCCATGTCGGCTGCTTCAGTGTTCTCATTTATTAACTGGGAAACAGACAGGAAACCCTTATGCTCAGAGAACGGCACATTCTGGGCTTCTACAGCTCGGCCTGACCGCACAACTCCTCCGCCGTGTGGCACGGCTCCCACACACAGGTGTACGTGCGTGCGCTGTAATCAACTCCAAACCTTTTGCTTTAACGGTTAGGGCACAAAAACAATTTATAAGGCATTAGGAAGCCTTTTCTACCTTGTTTAAAAAAAACACAGTCAGGTTGGAATTTGCATCAATGCTTCTGTACCGAGATCACAGAATGCTTACAAATCTGGTATTTTAAGGAGTTTATTATAAACAAAACAAAAGCATCGTTTCTCAGAGGCTTCTTTGATGCCAACGGCCATCCCTGCTCCGTGATCTAATGCACAGCTCCTGGGGAACCCTGAGAGGTGGGAATGATGGACCTGGTCCTGTGAGCTCAGAGGGGCTAGGAGACCACAGCCTGCAGTTGCCCCCCGCAGAGGTTCAGATGTGACTGAGACCTCAGAGATCACCTGAGCCCTGGACCTCCAGGAGGCACTGCCCTCACCCCAATGTCAAGGCAGCGTTCCCCTAAACTAGAGGAGCAGACTCAACCTGGTGCCCAGCCAGGCCTTGCCCCCAGTGCAGGTGGATTTCAAGGCCCTCCCTTTGCTTGCATCTTTCTTCCTGGAGGGAGCTGCCCCTAAGGGACTCATTATTTTGGCTAAAGTCGTGCGACATCAACATGTTTTTCGTCTCTTGGGGCATCTGTGCTTCTCTTGGACAGTGACACCACAGGAGGATACAGATGGCCTGACCCGCTGTCTTCTATGCACCCAGAGACTTTTGTTTCCTCAATTTGGCGTTTCTCACCCTGAGCATCACTGACATTGGGGCCGGACCGTCCTGGGCACTGTGGGGTATTGACAGCACCCCTGACCCCTACCCACTTGATGCCAGGAGTACCTATCCCTCCGTGTGACAACCACAGATGCCCCAGACACGACCACTGATCCTGCCTCAGACCTCTAGAGGAGTTTCTTGCCAGCTGAGCTGCTAGAAACGGCACAGAGGACTATTCTGGCCCTGGGGCTTGCCCACTCTTCCCGCAGCGCCAGCACATAGGGTGCAGAGCCAGGATCCCCTGCCACTGCCAGATGCCTCCCACCCCGACTCAAAGTCCCCAGTCCGGGTACACCGCCTGGGGGCCAGCTACAAGGTGACAGATACAGTTGCTCCTGTGGGAGAGAAAACAGTATCTTTCCACCTGCACAACTTTTAAAAAACAGGTGATGGTTCTCAGTCAGAAGTGACTTGGTCGTCCCGTGGGGAACATTTCAGTACTATTTGGGGACCTGTGTGGTTATCACAACCTGGTTGTGCACCTGGTATTTAGAGGGAGGGCCCATGGATGCTGCTCAACACCCTACCGTGTGCGGGTTGGACTCCAACAACTAAGCACAATCTGGTCTGAATGCTGCTGCTAGTGTTGAGATAGGAAACAAAAATCTCTCACTGGTCGCCTCCTTGTCCCCTGCCGCCAGAAGCCACTGCTGAGTCCCATACCTGGGGTGGAAGGGTGGCCAGTGGGGTGTGCACAACAAGCGGCGGCTGGCTGTGGCTGTGCCGCGAGTCACAGAACCATTCTATGACAGCCCCCCCCACCCCGATCCTCGGCGGCAGACTCCTGTCGTTGAACCTGAGAGGAGGAGGCATGTTGAAGTTCAGCAGCCCCCCAGCCCTCGGAGCACATACCTTGACTCTGTCCCTCAAGTTCTGCCCGAACACAAATGCTTGCTGTGCGACCTGCTCTTTCTTCTCGCGGCTGTCTTCCTCAGAGGCGTTGCTGGACTCATTTTTCTGGGGCTCTTTCTCCTAGTGAAAAAGAATGACAGCTGGAAGGGTCCTAGTAGCCATGACGCGCAAGCTGAACCGCCTCATGCCCTCCCGGAGTCCCCCTTGGTGAGGGTCCCGGGCTGAGGGACCTCTGAGGAGGCCAGAACCAACAGGAGGAGCGTGTAGGCAGGCCCCGGGCCCGGAAGGGGCAGCCGGGGACCCGGGGACGACGGCACGGCTGGGTCACTTCCGGGGCTCCCTCCGGCTCAGAGCTGTGCAGCTGACTAATCACCCCAAGAACCAGCCATCAAAGTCTCCAAGAAGCATATACTGCAGAAACGATTTTTATTTCTAATTCCACTGACTGGTCTGAAGGTGGGGGGCTCAGGGAGATTTCAAAATGGAATTGCAGATGATCATTTTCACCCTTTGAGCCTGAATATCCACTAGAGGGTGGCGGGAGGCGGAGGGTGGAGAAGCTCTGGCAGCAACTTAGCTACTGGAGTGGAAAGACACACAGATGCAGTCAGGCTTGTGCATGAAGCTTGTTGCATTACGGCCACTGGGATTCCAAATCTGCCTCTGCCAACCGCAAGAGCAGGCTCGTCAGTCGTGCCCCTTGTTTTCCAGCTGCTCTGCAGCACTACTGGAAAACATATGCTTCTGGCCTATCTAACTCCAGAACCCCGAAGGACTGTTCTTTTACAAAAATAGCAGATGGGTTTCTGAGCTGACCGCCCCCACAAGCAAACTTCTTCAACTGGAAAGAGCACATATGTGTGAATCCCCGGAGTCGCTGGGGTGTGGAGACAGGGAGGGGAGACATTTCTCCACGTAAAACGCGTACAAGGCCCTCATCAATGAAAGCCATTCCTCTGGCCCCAGCAACTCCCCAGGGCTCAACAGTTAGTGTGCCACC